TACTTGACTCAGGTATGGCGCAAAGCCGTTTGATTATCACATAGGTTAAAATTTATTATATAATTCTTTAAAATTCATACGATCGCAGAAAATTCTACTGTCTAAGAAACTCTGTACCAGATACATATATTTACTTTTGGAATGATATCAACTCATTTGTATTGCCTTACATATATTTGATGTTCTAATAAAGAATTTTGTTAATGTATAACGACTTTTATTTTTCAGTTAGTGAAGTACGTTACGTCAATATTTGGAGACAAATATTAACTTAAAGATTTGGGAAACGGCAACAGGTATCAGACATCAGACATGCATTGTCATATCACCTTGATGCAGGAAGGGGGAGGCATTGTCAAGTTGCTTGTTTCTCTTTAATATCGTCGTTTAATATTCTTTGCTGGAACGAATGGCTGACAGTCAGCCGAGGCATAAAGGTTTCAATACTTCTTTATTCCCTTTGGGAATTTAATTAGTAATTTCAGTGCCCCTCCAAACATCGAATTTGGTTGAAAACTCCCCACCTTTAATAACTCAACGGGGTATTTTTAGCATTTTTAGTCAAGGTATTATTTGCAATCTCAATAAGTGTTCTTGATGAACCATGAAGTTGTTAACGCGTCAGTAATCCCTCTAGTCTAGGTAAGCGTAAGGTTCCAGTCCAGAAGTGAATCTCTGGTAGTGTTTCCTCGGGCAAAAAAGGGAGTCGTTGTAATTGTTGGGTATCCGATGTAAAGGGTGCATTGTTGTTCTTGAAAGAAACGAGAAGCAACTGAACCGAAAGACCTGCCATCTTATCCTACACGTCATTTATCAAGATCCTATACTGCAAAAAATGTACATTTGCTCTACGTTATATTGTTCACACACGCGCACACACACACACACACACACACACACACACACAAACACACACACAATGCACACACACACTTAGATTAAATTACACATTTAGATTATATTGGGAGAAAAAAAGTTAAAATACTCTTGAAAATAGTATGGTTTGTAACCAAACGATTTAGCAAGAACAAAAGAAGAAAGAGATCAATTATAAAGAAAGTTAATTTCTTTGGTATTTCGTATATTTACCAAAGTTTGTTGAATACACTTTAATTTCATCAATGAAACAACGTTAGTTCAAAGGTATGATCGCGTAAATACTTTGCGAGTGGCAAAGTCAGCAGGTACATTAACGGTATTCATTTCCCCCAAGATAGAATGTCACGTGTTTAAGAAGAAAAATGTCCGTTGCTACAAAGTATGTCAGATACACAAGATGCAAGCTTCTACATCGGCAACCCACACACTACGTTGCGGTAATGCCAGCATAGGTCAAGGTGGTCACGTGACGCACCTTGGAAATCATACTGAATTCATAAAATCAGAAAAGTTCAATCAATCAAATTAAGCTGAAAATGTCACAAGATTTTGGTCAAAACGCTTAACAAATGTCAGCTTTAGTTTCAAACTGCTTCTTATACCAACTCTCCCGGCCGTGACTGATTGAACAACCCCTCCCCTCCAAAAAAATCCTGCCCCCCCCCCTCTGCAAAAGACCCTGACACCCCTTCCTGCAACAACATCCTGCGGGCGCCCATAGATAATGCTTATATTTCAATATATAGTAGGGGAACTATGACGTACCTTCTTTGAAATGGTAAAAACATATTTTAAAATATGATAAGTCTGGGAGAGATTTCGCTAGCTATAAAAAGACTTTAAAGCGGCATCGATTCCACTAAAAGGTGCCTTAGTGCTGGAAAGGGTTACACCTTAATCAGCAAATGCAATCAATTTTCTACAAATTGTTGACTTGACGTGTTTACTAATGAATATTACGGTCCTTATATACGACGCTCTAAGAGGCGTCTACCGTGTCATACTATTATGTGCATTTAGTACAAATCGCACTGGCAATCTTACTAACGATATTGTTACAGATTATACAGCTTACGGCGGATGGCAATAAGAGATATTAAACCTTGTCCCTGGGCAGTACAATTTTACTGGTTCAGCTTTAAAACCTAATGAACTGGAACATATCCGGTTATTATGAAAGCAAGGTCGGTAAATGGATACGGTATAAATAAACAAATAGCCTAAGCACAGAAGACTGATTAAAATAATGCATATTCTGACACAAGCGCAACAGATACGAGTAAAACACCATAACTAAAAAAAAAATGGAATAAAGACCTAAACGAATTTTCGCTGAGGAACTGGTATCAAGAAGCAATTTCTTATGTTTAAGCACTGGCAGGTAAGAAAATACGAAAACAGATACGCATAATTGACTTTCGTTTTAGTGCTTAATCAATACATAAAGATGTGTATCACAATAGATAAATTAAATGGATACAATAAAAATGCAAGTATATAATGGATGGCAAAAATGATATCAGAATATTAATTTTATCATTTGCCTGTACTAAAAGTGTACCCTCAAATTCGTGCTACATTGTAGTTGGCGACTTTAGTTTGCTTCAATTATTGGAAACTAAGATACTGGCAAATTAACAGAACCATCTGGAGACCGTTTACATTCTTTTCTTTATATCTTCTTGTTCGTCGAGTTTCCTTGAGGATTGTTTTCAGATGGGGCTACCGCATATACTCACTTATAAGTTGAGGCAAATTGCAGTAAAGATCCTGATCTGCCGTAACCTGATGCTTCTGCATATCGGAGTCTATGTTGTTTGTTGTATTGCTTATGCCTAACAAACTGCACAGGCCCAGATATGCCAGCACTTTATGCGACGACAGATCTAGGTTTGCAGTTTCAAACTGGTACTCAACTTATAAGAGAGTATATACCGTAAAAAAAAATGTCAACAGTAACATTCAGTCGCGCAACATTTGTACTTCTCGCCCCCACAAATTTTATTATATTTTAGATCAGGTAAAATAAAAGCAAAACAACTTTTTTCCCAATGATATTCTAACTCGTTAGAATTTGATTGCTTTAAGTCTTTCTGGTTTACTGGCACGTCATTTTATCTATCAAATATTTATAGTTAATTTAGTCGATAGTTCACGTGATCCCTTGGTGGATCTAGTACGCTTGAAAGGGTTGTTATTCGCCACATGAATTGTATTCTTTATATATATATATATATATATATATATATATATATATATATATATATATATATATATATATATATATATATATATATATATATGTATATATATATATATATATATGTATGTATATATATATATATATATATATATATATATATATATATATATATATATATATATATATATATATATATATATATATATATATATATATATATATAAAGAATACAATTCATATGGCGAATAACAACCCTTTCAAGCGTACTAGATCCACCACATATATATATATATATATATATATATATATATATATATATATATATATATATATATATATATATATATATATATATATATATATATATTGCAAGAATAGTCTTGCGATTAATTTCCTATTACTCATAATACGCCATGTGTCAGCAGTGGCGTGTGCTTCTGTACTGAAGTAAAACTTTAAATAAATTAAACAAAATACAGTCAGTTAAATATCCCAAACTGACAGAAGACAAGTCTGCCAATTTTGTCCAGGATTTAATGCTTATCGCTTTTTCCGTAGATTAATTTAGTCGATAGATCACACTTTGACCAATTATATATACCTCCCCCGATAAATTCTGGCACAAAAATGGGATTATTCGGGTTTAATTTCCAAACCTAGTGTCCTCAATTTCAGTGGCAGTTTAAGATATATCCTTTTATAAACAGGTCTGATCTCAGTATAGTCCGTTAATTCATTCCTCAGGATCGTGGCTTGTGTTGGGATTTTACATCACTAAGCAACTGTATACCGTTCTAGAATATGTTTATATGAAAAGAGTTTGTATTAATATGTGATACCTGGAACTCTTAAAAAACAAAATGTGGGGCTAAGCTTATTATACTCTGGCTTCAAAAATTATTTCATATCAACCCGACTCATAGACTGATTGAATTGAATTACATTTACCACAAATTTTTTCGCTTAGAAGATAGAATTTGATTTAAGTGATATATTGGCCAAAAAATATCATGAAGGTGACCATGGGTGGGCAGCGAGTGCAAAAGGTTTGAAAACCATTGGCTTAAACCACGTCCGTAGCTGTGTATTTACGCATAAGACAGATAGCACTGAAAATATCAAAGACCGTCATCTGCCGTCGCATATTACACCGGTAGATCAGAATCCATGATGTCTGGTTTACTGATTACTTGTAAAAGTCTGTATAGACAAAAGTCTGCAGACGCATGATGCGATAACAGTCTATGCCGTATGCATTTGGATCTAATTTATACCAAATTAAATACTGTACTTCTCACTAGAACTTGGGCATCCGAATAGGACATTGTCTTTAATAACCTTATGAAGTGGAGAGAAAATGTTCATCAGTAGATTACATATACACAAAGTAGGTTATCATCATCATCATCATCATCATCATCATCATCATCATCATCATCATCATCATCATCATCATCATCATCATCATCATCATTATTATTGTTATTATTATTATTATTATTATTATTATTATTATTATTATTATTATTATTATTATTATTATTATTATTATTAATGGTTTCAATTACAACGAAATAACCACTGCCATACCGTGGCCAATTTAATTTAAAAAATCTGCCTTTCTGCATTTTCACCTGGAAGTAAGAAATTGTACTAATAGCCGGTTGTTTCTTCATATTTAGAGAAAATTCGTTTTGTTTTATTCGGGGGACTGAGGCACAGATACATGTAAATGCAACCTCAATACGCGTACTTAAGTTTTAAAATTAAATTATCTAAATTTTATAAACTCTTAAATAAAAGCATTTCTTTATTTGCTCCAGTAGAAACAAAACTTGTTTGTCTCCATCTTCGCCTATTATATTTCTTTATTATGAAACTATGCTGGCGTATACACAACACCATGCGTACCACTCCAGTGGCTTAGTGGTTAGAGTGTCCACCTCGGATGCTGGAGGTCGTGGGTTCGATCACCGACAGTGTCATACGAAAGACTTACAAAAATAGTACTAACAGCTGCCTCGCTTGGTGCTCAGCATTAAGATGTTAGTGTTAGGACTTGTCGGCCTGGTGTCAGGATAATGCGACTGGGACATCATGCTACACATATGAGGCATAATACCCTGTGGTGAGACAGCACTGTAAACTGTCGCACTGTGGACATCGTAGTGATATGGCTGAAAAATTATTCAAATTACGTTAAATAAAATTCTCAAAATCCAAATATCATGAGTAGTTGTCCCTAGAGATTATACCTTATGACAATTTATCGTCTACTACGACTAATTTTGCTACTACTACCGCTGCTACTAAATTCGTGATATCTTTACTATTATCGCTTAATCAGTGACAACCTGACCGAATAGGGAACCTCCTCAATTCTAGATATTGTCTCCTGTTTAAATGGCTCTGTTTATTGTAATTAAAATATGGTTATTATTGCACACAAGATAAGACGACGATACATTCAATCAACCAGATATATTAATATCAAAATGAGGTGAATCGTTCTACTTAAATTAAGAGCCAAACAATAGTATAACAAGTCCCTTGTATTGCGAGATCGAAATACACAAAATATAATGAGATTGTATCATATCATTCACCACACAGTTCGTGGAACATGTTTTGTCGTGACTATTCTGCATGACACCCCCACCCCGCAACACGTTGGATGGGAGATAACATCAAGGCTATACATTTCTCCACGGTTCGTGAAACATATTTTACCTCCCCGCGTAGGGTGATGTGAGATCTAATCAAAGCTAGGGTATTATCCCCTGTTCGTGGGACGTGTTTGTCTTACTTATATAGATTATGTATCGTGTTCGATTTGAATATTTGATGTAAGTTAAGGTCCATAACTGAAGTGGTCAACCAGAGATGAAGGTGATTTTGTATCAACCAAATTTTAGATATACAACTATAAGGAAAAGACTTGGGCACATTTTGAATAAGTTAACAGGAAGACACTAACTTCAGAGTGATGTATGTACACTGCATGCAATTCCGAAGGGAACGGCGTCAGACCTATTCATTAAGAGAATCAATCGAAACATGTAGAATTTGTTCGGCTATATAACGATGGGGATAAGAAGAATAAAGTAAACAAGAATACGAATGGCGTGTTTATGTTGCATGCTTTTACTTCCGTTCGGTTTACATTATTATTATCCTTCCTTCCAGCTACATAATATTAATTACTCATTTATTTACGTATAGTTTAGCCTCTCCGTACTGGAAGCACGAATTGAGATTTTAGAACCATACGTCTGTAAATACCATCGATCTATTAATTTTACGTATCATCTATATAGACCATTCTTATTGAGATCCTCATTAAATATTAATGTATCGCGAAAACGAGGCTAAGCTAGGCAGATGCGACTATACTACATATAATATATTACGTAGATTCCTTTTGCAAGAGAATATATTATGTTGTTCGCGGTTGTAATGGATATAATGCAGAGTGCACAACACCTCGAAGGTAGAGTGAGTAGATCCCGTAGCATAAAAAAAAATAAACGTCAGCTTATATGTTATGCATTTTTTTGTGGTAGGTAGATCATTTTGGCTTGGTCATTGTACAAGTAGCTCGCAAGCTAAAAAAAAGTGTGTGCACGCCTGATGAAATGTCTTTTATAGAGGTTCCTTCCTTTTGCGTAAGAATATTTTATAAAATTACCGCTGCATAGATTATAATGACGAAAACTTACTTGTTATGTCCATTCTCTAAAACGTAAGTTGATTTACGTCCTATCTTGAGTGTCCTTTTTCTGAAGAACACACATAATACAAGTTAATGATAGAGAAAAGAGACTATTTAAAGCATGAATTTTGTTTTTGATTAGGTAAGGTTTAAATGTACATCTATGATTAATCATCAATGTGGGCAGCAAAACACACGGTCAGAAGAAAACATTCACAAAATGTGCATAGTGACACAAACTGCGCTTTTAACCAAAAACTTCTCCAAAACCAGTAGACACTTTATGGTTTGCTTTAAATAGTTTTGGGTACCTGTCGGTATGCTTTCATTTTAATTTGTATCAGAAGTGCACAGCCAAATTGCTATTATGGTGCTTTCTTTGGTGCCTGGGGGTGGGAGGGACTGGGATTTTCCCTTTAAATGATATATTTTTTTCTTTTCTGAATCATCGCTCAACTAACAACATGAATATACGATTTTACTTATTTTTTTGTTTCAATAAACAGAATATATATATATATATATATATATATATATATATATATATATATATAAATATATATATATATATATATATATATATATATATACATATATACATATATGTATGTATGTATGTATGTATGTATGTATGTATGTATGTATGTATGTATGTATGTATGTATGTATGTATGTATGTATGTATGTATGTATGTATGTATGTACGTATGTACGTACATACATACATACATACATACATACATACATACATACATACATACATACATACATACATACATACATACATACATACATACATACATACATACATACATACATACATACACAAACTGGTCTCATATTTATCTGAACTTCTTCACTGATTATATTTAATACTATATTTATGGAGCTGGTAGATGGATGAATTTTAACACCCAATATGTATATGCAGATATTAGGTAAAGTAAAAATAATAGGTAAGAATCATATCTAAACAATTAAAATAAATTGTCATTTTATGAATGGGATATTCTGTTTATCAGTTTATTAAAATAATTTCTCTATAAATTTAAAAAAACCTTTATCTGCCATAATTTGATCCCCCTGGTTCTAACAAATCTATTAACTGGAGCCTATCTTAGCCTCGTTTTGGATTCGTGGACCCGGGGTCACATGAACACATGAATACATTATAAAAATGGTCTAATAGATAGGGCCACAGCTTACTACCGACCGCAAGTTAGAGGCTATTGATTGTACGGGTTGAGTGAATGGTGCCAGGAAGGAGATGCCGAGAAGTAACAACGACCATAAAATGAAATGCGAAACTGTCCTATAAGTAGGTCATTTTCAGAAATAAGAGTGTAGGAGAATAAAAGCGCATATTGTAAGTCAATAAAACGATGGATAAAATATTCCCCAAACAAGCCATTTGTAAACAAAATAAATATATCAATCAAAATAAAATAAAATCAAACCAAAAGTAAAAACTATGTGTTTTATACATCTTTGTTAATACTTTTAAATAGCTCAACTTTCTGACTGGAAAGGTACCAATTTAACTGCGTGGAAGAAAACCTTACTGTACGATGTGGATACGTTTTCGTCATAGCAAGATTCTGTACGTATGACTTTTTTATTCCACAATCTTTATAGGTTTTCATACAAGAAGACTTTCTGTTGCTCGAGCAATGGACTGTACGCATGCCTGAATGCAAGATGAATTATTCCACAGTTTTGACAAGTTGTTCTCGTTGCTACGTTGAGAAAGCATGCCGGAATGCAGGATAACTTTATATTCCACGATCTTGATACGGTTTCGTCCGAGCAAGTTTCTGTAACAATGACTGAATGCAAGAAGAATTTCTATTCCACAACTTTCATAAGTCGTCATATCTTTGCTCAATAAGTATTATTAAGTTTAATTGAATGCAGTTAGACCCACGACTTTCATATGTCGTCATAGCAATTAATGCTCAGTGAGTATGATTGAATGCAAGACGACTTTTTATTCCACTACTTTCATAAGTCGTCATAGCAATGATTGGTAAGTATGATTAACTATGATTGAATGCAAGACGACTTTTTATTCCACTACTTTCATAAGTCGTCATAGCAATGATTGGTAAGTATGATTAACTATGATTGAATGCAAGACGACTTTTTATTCCACTACTTTCGTAAGTCGTTAGAGCAATGATTGGTAAGTATGATTAAGTGTGATTGAATGCAAGAAAACCTTCTATTGCACTACTCTCATAAGTCGTCATTGCAATGCTTGGTAAATATAATTAAGTATGACTGAATGCAAGAAGACCGTCTATTTCACTACTTCCATAAATCGTCATAGCAATGATTGGTTAGTATGATTAAGTGTGATTGAATGCAAGAAGACCTTCTATTCCACTACTTTCATAAGTTGTCATGACAACGATTGGTAATCTGGGATATTCCTAGGTGTTCGTTAGAGCAATGTTCTGCGTGCACGATTAAATACAATAATATCTTGTGGAGGAAGGACCAGGAAAACTCTGGAAGAACCAACAACCCACAGGTATGTCAGGCATTCTCACATACTCACGCTTGCTAAACATGAGATTCGAACCCACGCAGACAGGTGAAATGTCGGTGATCCATTAAGGCAAGCGCCTTAGACAAATCGGCCGAAGGAAAGAACGCATGCCTCACTTTCATTTAACTTGTATCAATTTTAGACAAACTTCTGCAGTAATGATGAAGGTGTACTTTTTCATAGGTCGTGTGTTTTTGAAAGGTAAAAGTAAATTTTTTTTAAAGATACCAGCCAGCAAGGTAAATTAACGCAAACACGCAAAATATATTACGTAAGTATTTCAAAACCAACACATATTCATTTTCAAAAGATATGTATGTATGTATGTATGTATGTATGTATGTATGTATGTATGTATGTATGTATGTATGTATGTATGTATGTATGTATGTATGTATGTATGTATGTATGTATGTATGTATGTATGTATGATCATATGGCGAATAACAGTCCTTTCCAGTGCACTAGTGGATCCAGCAACGAATCACGTGTGTCTGGGATTGATTATGATAAATGCAATAAATTGTCTACGAACAGTGCAAAACTATTATATAAATATCCTGAGCTCATTCGACTTTTAACGAGTCTTTTTTAAAGGCAAATAGAAAACATAGACAAGACAAACAAATCAACAAAAAACCGTTGTTTGAAAAAAAATTACATGACTATTTCTACAGGAATGAAACCTTTAAATTTACTAAGCTTCAACTAGTTTATTTTAA